GATATTATCAGTCGTTTTAACATCATTATTACAGAAATCCAGATTTTGTTTTTCTGGTTTTCTATTAAATAATTCTGATTGGTTTTGCAGAGAAGAAACTATTATGGTTATCAGTTCTTATTATAGAATCTAAGGGAGCATTAATTTTCGATAGGTACTTCTTCTGGTTCCTTTAATTCACCGTTATTTGTACGACCAGGCCAGTTCAATTATACTCTGAGGAATAATAAGTGATTTACATTCCGTTCCATACTTACTAAAGCATAAATTCAGGAATCCCAGAGTAAACTGTTGTTTGAATGATCCTACCTAGATTTTTCCTAACAAAGCATCTGGAAAGTGAAATTCCTAGCCGTTCCTCAATTCTAGCCTGAATTTTGTTGGTATATAATGCTTAACAGACCCAAGAATAATAATACAATCGCAGCTTCATTAACCATAGATAATGAGAGCACTACTCATGAACCTTATGTAGAAATGAGATCACTCAATCACCAACTAAAGTACGGTATGCTTAAATTTAATTATGAAGTAGTCTACTAACAAAAACTCTTATGGTTAGCCTGTTGCTCTTTCTCCTATAAATTCTTTACTAAATCTGAATTAAATGCTAAAGTTGAATCACTGATTGAATTACCCGAAATAGTATCGTTTACCTTTTACACAAAATGTTTACGGTTTTCTTGAAATAAGCGTTTGTAAGGAGTGAAATAATGTTGAATGTAGGAACTGTATTTGATATAATCTCAGAGATTAAAATAATGTCCAAATGAACCATTCAACCCGTCTCTCCAATCTAGTTGATACTGATTGTCGAAGTAATAAAAAAACTAATATATCAAATGGGTTGTAGCTATTTCGAGTGAATATAAGATTTTAGTTAGTTTTTGGAAGTTGCAATAGTACGAATTTTCAGATATTCAGTGTTTTTTCTAGCTATGTACCATGTTTCTAAAGTATTTGTATCTTATTCAGAAAAACTTGTTTTAACCCTAAAGTATTCAAATCACGGTGCATTTGAACAGGACAAAAATAATATCACATATCCATATCTATATAATTTATCACACCACTTTGTTCTCGATCGATCAGGCAGGATTTACTAAAAAAACTCAAAATAAATCACATGGAACTATGCTAAAAGTTGTAATTATGGGAACTGTAATTCTCCGTTGTCATAGATCATTTTACCTCATCGTCAAGGAAGCAATATCCATGAAATTATCAGTAAGGAGGAGATCCTATCCTAAGCTGTGATTATTAAGTAACGACACTTCCAAAATCCAACCATCATCTACAACTTGCTTGTCTATGCCAAGAACGAAATAATAATGTTTACACTGTTTGTAATAATAGCTGTTTAGGGTTATTATTAACATTTGTTTTCTTAATGTAATATGAAATCATATTAGCATTCCCTATAATATGAGACTTATAAGGCTTAAAAGTACAAATCATTACATACCTGTTTGGACCAACTAAATTCTTGAAAATAGAATAATTAAACTTAGAAATTTATCTTACGGGGTTTGTTTTAGGTCATAAAGAGATACTTTTAGAGAATTTTAACGAACATAAAGTCTAGTTTCTTTTTTTTATCTCCCATCAGGTATTTTACTTTGAAGGGAATAGTTTAGATTTCCAGAGAAGTGTAAGATCAGTCCGAGGTGCAAACTATGAGGATCGATTGTATGATATATAAGTGTTTTGAGATTCAATCAAGGTTTCTCGATCTAACTTATCGTAATGATATAGTGGTTCCATTGAGCTCTTCTAGTGAAAAGATAACTTGAATTGAATGAAACCATGTACTCATTTTACTTATTTCAACGATACCAAGTTACGATCGAGCATATAAGCGTAAGTAAGAAGTTGACTTATTTACAAACAATTACACTTATTTTTCATAGACATGGTAATAAAGATTGTTTTATTGAAGTCGTATTACAAACCAGTGAAACTAACTTGTACAGAGTTATGGTGGACAAAATCTTTATCACAACGTCACGTATAACAGTGGAATGGAAAGTGTAAAAATAATTAAACTTGCCCAAAAACGATCGCTTTCCTTAAAGTCAAGTACAAAATATCTTTATCTAACTTTAAAGGAATACTAATATGCAGTAATTTCAAAAATTATGCACTACGACATTTACATGATCAGCTGATTTTAAAGTGAACAAGTAAGGAACTTAGTTGCAAACAAGGTTACCTCAAGTGCTGTTAAAGATATGAGGGCGAATGTCACTTCCTGGCTGCTCACACAGTGAAAAAGTACTACATCCCGGAGGATTTGAAAAGAAAACCAGTTCAGTAGTAGTGTCGGACACATTAGAGCTTCCCCGTGGTGTTCAAGGGACAACTGAATAAAACTAACCATATATGGTATTCCTATAAGTTAGTTTAAATTTTTTGGCTCCGTAACTTTGAGGTTTTACTGTAGGCGATGGAGATTCATGAAGCAAAGTGAGGTGTACCTTTATTAGAACTGAAAGTTTCTATTTTCTTAGTTGAAAGAAGAACTGTTGTAGATGCCCGCTATCTGAAGTAAAAGGCTCGCCGTTATGACACCCCAGTACAGCTGGCACGAAGAATTTGCTAATGTCGTCATTTTTTACACCTCTCAGCCGACATCTGTTTCATTGTCAACCCAAAGAAACGGGTTTTTCAACCAATATAATTAAACTGGGTGGTCATAACAGACATATTCGACTACTAAACCAAGGTGGTGATGAATAGTTTGCATAGACGGCCTTATGATTCAAAAATGTCCAAGGGATCAAAAACAAATCTGTTTTTCATCGACATAGAAAAAGAAAGGAAAGTGGTTTTCTTCCATATACTGGGATATAAACCTATCTAATCATTCGATATTCTTACGAACATTCACAAAGCATTATTCAATATGCAAAGGAATTAACAAGAGTATATAAAATTAAAAATTCCTTCGAGGTTCTCTAGAGTTTGAATATACTGAATCTAACATAAGATGAATTTAATAAAGTTTACATATTTTCGAGGTCTTATTGATCAGATTCGTAAGTTATAACTACTATTATTTCCTCTTAGTTAACAAGGTTTCTATGTCTACCAAACGACTTGCAACGACAACTGAAAAGCATCTAGCCAAAGATAAGGCTACACATATACTCAGTAGCTGTAAATTTTTATTAATTCTTTAATGTTTTGTCAATGTTATAAACTATGAACGGGAATAACTAGAAGTAACCCAAATAAGAGTTTTCATACTTTTATATTACCGTTGGTTAGTATGTATATTTTCAGTGATATATCTTCTAAGAGACGAAGACATGTCAAAAATAGGTTGACACTACAGGTATGTGTAATAATACTCAACTCCATGTATCCTTTAAAATTGTCACAGATATGAACAACGAGATAAGTTAAGCGAACGGACATAGAAATTAGACATTCTGTACTGAGTACTGCACATAAATACACCCACAAACGTTATGGAAAGAGGGGAGTAATTTTGCTACTTTTTGTTTCCAAATAATAAAATATAGATAAAGACATTTGATTGGTAAACTAGTCTGGAGCAGACATAAACTTTTCCTACTCACTAAAGTGTATTTAATTTGATCATAAATCTGACAGTTGGTTCGCAATTGTCGCCAAATGTTCAAAACAAACAGTGTTTAAAAAATGGAAAAGCTTGGTAGGTTGATTCGCCGGCTTTATCCTAATAGCGAGTGTTATAGACAATAAGTCAACTATTCATAACCGAATAAAACTGTACTCTCAGAGTTGGTAAAACCAAAAACATAAATGCGTCTAAACCTTCAAAACTTTAACAATCGAGCCATTCACTCGTCGATAGGTTAAAAATGGAACTGTTTTTAAGCTTTATAATGATTAGGCATAAATATACAATAAACTCTTCAATTTACTCTATACATGATGTACAGCTTTAGGCCTCCTCTTAATTATACTTGATAATTACTCCCGTTCTGAATCCCAGCTAGATATCCCAATACCCATCTAAGTGATAGTATCATTTGTTCTAGGCAATTTTGTCATAAACTACTGTCGTGAGAATTGGGAAACAACATTAAGCACTTTAAGTAGAAAATAAGTATTCAATAATAGATATTCTTACACACGGATTACTTGGGGTAGAAGGGATAAGTGAGCCGCACGTTCAACTTAAAAATGCAAGCAATGAGATAGAAGCACGAAGCTTCAATGAACCATTTATTTAAAAAAATGCAACACAGACTAAATAACAGTTTATCCTGATTTAGAAAATTTGTTATGACGTTAATAGACGGAGAACCAGTTGATAAGATGCTGAACGAGACATATACAGTTCATTGATGTTAGGGTAACACACGTGAGTTTTCTATTTACTGTATCAAACATATAATGAATTGATTTCTAGAAAGACTATAAGAAAAGTCAAGAAATTATCTTAACCAGTCTATCGCCTTTTGTATGATAAAGGATGTTAAATATCGTGTTATTTCAGACTCACGAATCGGCTACATTAGCTTTTTATTAGTATCTGAGTTCCTTATTGCTCCATATTAACTTCCTCATCGGTCATTTAATTGCATACCCCTGTCCATTTCTACAAATTCTTCTTCTTTAGCTTCATTTTTCGTGCTGTTCTACAGTCTTACATCATGAAATAATATCTGAAACATTTATAAACGTTTGTTCTCTCCAAAAAATAGGAGTAAAAGGTTGATCATAACGTCAAAAGCTAGGAAAAATAACACTCAAGATACCTGAACACTTTAAATTCGAATTAATTGGAAGTCGAAGTTCAGTCAAAGGCAATGTGCTTTCAATAAGTATATTATTGTTAATGTAGTCCGAAAGTTATTAAATAAATTTCATCTTTTTGCATGCCGTGTATTGAGCGTTTTTTTCATTATCCAATAAATCCAGGTCACTTATAAACTACTTTTGAATAAAGAACCTTTGGTTAGATAAAATATATAAGTAAGAAACAAATAGATAATAAAAGGTTTATTTTACTTGGAAGAGTTATTAAAGAGAAACTGTACAGAGGAAATGTATAAAAATACATTACGGTAAAGTGATCTTTGGAAATCAAGAGGTACTTGTTCCTGAGATGATTTGAGTAGAGTTCTCGACCAACAAGCATCAAAATGATCCCACAGAAATTCGGACTTTCTTTTGTCAGATGTGCAACTGGTTTTACTGGCATTTCCACAATCGACATCAAGATGAGACTCATTCTTCTGAATTCCATCGATCCATCTATTTACATTATCAATGTACCATACTCCGGGCCTTATACTGTCATGAAGTGACAACAAACATTCTTGTTTTGGAAACACTTCAACAAATGATTCGGCTCCACGCGGTATACACTGGTTTAATACAGTAACCAGACCATCATTGTCCCTTAATGGGTTCACATCATTGCTTATTTCCTGTATCTTATGTATTATTTTTTTTGTATGGTCATCAAGACAGTTGTCGTTAGTTTTATCCAAAAGGATAGCAGCAAATGGCCACAATATAGGTGACATTTCAGAGGGTACGTAAAGAGTAGATGACATAGTTGCACTGGAAAATAGGGAAAGATAAAATGTACCACTGTGGATAAAATCCGGAACACGTTTCAAGGAGCCCTTAATGTTCGATGAATTGTGGAGAATCCCTTCAAGCTTGGAAATACCCTCCCGTGTATTATCATAAATTATGTTATCACCTGAACTAAATATTCCACACTTCAAACTAGAATTCAACTTATTCACAACTTCCTCCCCAGATAGAAATTGAGGACTATCACTAGCATTAGAAACCCAGTGACCTATGGACCAGTTTAAGGCTCGACTAAGTTGTTCAGAGTCTAGTTTCAGTTTTGACGTGGCCGCCCATATGACAGCTCGACTAAGTATTTTTGCTGCCTTTTGGACCTTTATATGGATACAAGCTGAACAACCAAGATTTTTGCATTCTTTACACATAAAGTTTCCGTTGATCAGATGCAAAATTTCCTTATTAATCACATCTGATACAGCAGATTCATTGAGTGCACCATTAATAGAAGTAATTGACAAAATCCACTTAGCACTTGTTTCTTTATTCCAAAAATTGATTTCGAGAAGTTTTTGGAGAACTCTGGCTGTATTTATGGCAGTAGAATGACACACAAGGTGAATGGGGTTTGAGGGTCCCCATTCTAAATACAGTGGAGGTGTTTTACTATAATCCTTACCCCAGCGGGAATGTCCAAACAATTTTGAATGTCCTAATCCATAATCCACCAATGTACCGGTTATCTGTGCAAATATTTCGCAAGCCCTGTCGTGATGTGAAGCTATAGGACTTGGGTCAACACATGAAATTGATAAATTGGTTGAAATAATGGAACTGTCTAGTGCACTTTCCCAGTACCCATCGGTCAAGCCCCAACCTGGTAATCCTGGTATCAATATTACTTTGCTTTTAACCATGGGCTATCTTTGACAGGCGGGCGTTTGGTTAAACAGTAAAATCAGACGTATTTTTATACTATGACAGAATGTTATTAGGAATGATGCTGATAATATTATATCCAATAAAATGCTTTGCATATCAATAAACTAGATTTCCATGATTGACATATTATGTATAGGCTGGTATATATTGCACTGTTCTAATGATTTCTCGAGATGGTTATAAAACAGTAACAAGCAAATACAACCGAATTCGTGCCCCGTCAATAGAGATATTGAAGCTCAGCTTCAATATTCAATGTCTCAAGCTTCTGACTTCCAAACTTTATATGACAGAATTAGAAAAGTATGTACTGCATGAGATGTGTATCTTTATTAGATGGAAGCGTTTTTATCGATGGGGAAATATGATTCTTATAATGTTTATATCGTTACTGAAGGGAGAATCCTAGTTAATAAATTGTTAAGATGATCACCCTCAATACCTACAGAACTAAAGTAAACATTGATCCTTCTTTTAAAAGACTCTCCTAAAGACGAAATTGCAATCGCTTCTCGTGAGAAATTCTGAAGTTCAGTTCCCATGACAACGAAATGTTTGCATGGATTGTGTACGGGCTATTTCGTGTTTTAGGATAAATAGAAGTCCTTATAAGTACAAATCGGTGCTAAAATGCATAAATGATCTTTTGTGGTAAAGAAAATTGTCAGTGATATGACATATCGAGGTTATATCCCATTAATCCTTCTGTGTTCCACAAATTGCAGGTTTAGAGCTTTCAAACGAAGAATGTATACCCTATTTTTTATTTCAACACCTTACTTAACTTTCGTTAAACACGTTTGAAGAGGAAAATCCTATTCTCAAGGTTGGGAGATATTGTGCGTATGTACTTCTCCAGGTGAGTCGTCAAGTAAACAACGAAAGCATTTCAACAGGCTATGTAAAATTCGGGGAAGAAACCCCAAGTTATCTTATGGTTTATTGCTGCATAATATCATTGGGAAGAAGTACCTAGAATACCACACAAAGTGACGTTCAATCCCTTTTTCAAAGCGGAGTTTATGGTACTGTTATCATACATAGACAATGAAATGAAAAATGTGTAGCTGTAAATAATTCCCTAAAATCAATAACTTTGTAAGTGTTCGACATCGGATGCTGACCACACCAGTTTTAGTGGACCTGTTTAGCTGAAGGCGTTCCGTCATGCATCCGTATTAGATCACGTTACAGCACAGCGAGGGAAACGTCTCCTACGATCATTAGCTAGATTAGATCAATCGCTTCTCGATATATTGATAACGCATCAAATATGTCTTCCAACCTTTTCGCTTTTGACTTCTGATTTTAACTGAGTGGGCACGATTCGATTATAGAAGGTGTTACTGGCTAATAGTTGTCACTAATGCTCGCTATTTGCACTCTATATTTGCCAATATTCAGAGGGAGAAGGTTTCTACTGTGTCTTGCCTCATATCCTATTCGAGTCTTTCTGACTAATCGGAATTGGCGCCTATCTCAAAGCCTTGGGATCATATGCACATAGCAGAGTTTGAGAGTCTATAATACAAGGTAACTTATTAAGGAACAACGAGAATAGGAGTGGTTCAACGATTTACCCTCACAACATCCCACTCATAATTGAGATCGAAGTCATATAGAATAAAATTGGCTCTGTTGGCTTGTGGTCTTCTTCACAGGTATTCCGCAAGCCATGTCATCAAAGGCCGACCCATAGATTTTGGTCAGGGAATCTCATGATAAGCCTAGGAGGCCTATCTGAACAGGATACTTGGAACCCATTCATGGGCCCCGATTCCCAGACAGTCAATAGACTTGTATTACATGATCCAAATGGGGAGAAGGCATATTATGATTCAGAATCTGAAGATTTGTTGAGCAGGTGACTATAAGAAGGTCTGTTTCGAACTCTGCAAGTTAGAATATGATAAAATGTTTGTTATTCATCTGTTGTTAGCTCTGATTTGAGCCTTCAGTTTTTAAAGAGAAGTGTAATAGTCATATTGAGCCTCACTAGCTCTGAAGCAGTAATCAGCGCGAAGATGGAGTTTCTACTTTATTCTGTCTGGTGATAATGTTAGCAATACTTATACTGGCAAGAAAGTAAAATCGCCAAACACAGCATGTGAAAGTGCAATATGGTGTGGTTATACTTGATTCAGATATTCGAAAGACTGTCTTCGAGCATTCACATAATGTCAGGACACTGAAGCAATGTGTTCGAAACCAGTTAAGACTGGCACTGAATGAAAATAACCCAGAATATTTAGAAGACCTATACCTCTACAAAATATGACTGCCACTCTCATTGATAGCCAATCGAATCATTTCCTGTTCACGCTGTTTGCTAATAACTGTAAACCACGAGTTACCAAGATTGACTCTGAACATGAAATAATTTCCTTCGTTGGAGAAGTAACAGAAAACTCACAATTTGCGGTGGCCATCATCATACCAAAACAGAACCATCATTCGATAGGTCTAACTGTCCGTTGTTTCAATCACAACATGCATTTGGCCATCCACGTACAAAGAGCATGCAGAAAACTTCCTGGAGTCATGCGAAGTCGACGATAACGCTCAAAGATTAAATCGCAGGTCAAAGTGTTCCTTGGCCTACACTCTTTTGCAGCATGTACTAATTTACTCTATAAATAACGTTTTTCTATATTTATACTTCATATGTCGAACACATTTCATGATATTGACATCTCCACCAATGTCTATACTATAACTAATTGGATTACTTTTTAGGATCCCACCTCTGGAATCCAACGTTGAATCCGACGTTTGTTGGAAGGCCCAGATTAAAAATCAACAATGAATCTCGGAATGATGCATATTGTGTTGATCACGTTACTAAAACATCGAGCATATTTTATTGAGTAGCTACGATCTCATTCCCTTCCATGTTTTTTACTGGTGTTAGCTGCAAGTGACACAAAGTCAACCCTAACTTGTCTTCAAAACACCGGGTGCTAGAGAGGAAACACTCAACGCCACTGACTATACCTCATGCTGTTCACTAGTTACAGCAAGCTAACTGGCAATCTCTTCGCCGTTGGGTCCACTTTTGTTGTGTCAACTCGGTACACAAGCAGTACCACAGATTCATGGTAAGCAACTCATGCTCTTGGTCCTGGTATATATAGTCGTGTGGTGTGAAAAGCACTCCTTAATTAGACATATGAGAGAAATACAAGGACTGACAAACAAAGCCGAAGTCATTATGATCACGTTGTCAGAGCGACCGACATGAGGACTATCAGAAACGTGACCACAGATATCGGTGCAGAAATACCGTCCACAACTCGAATAGATTGTAAAGCGGAAAACGTTTACTGAAAGCCTCATAAATATCGGCTACAAGCAATGAGAAGGAGCAACGAATAACTGTTATGACCAATATTAAGTAAACAACATTACCCGTATCAGAACTTGGAGATCAGGTAACATACCCAGCGCTATTGACGTTACTTTTGGGTCGAGGCCTTCAGTTCTCTTTTTCTAGGTTTCTCACAGAGCTGGATGGGTTATTTTTTCTTGGAATTACGGAAGATAAATCAATTCTGAACTACATTTCATGCCCTATGATAAGATCTCAGTTTAACATAATCATGGTTTTTATGATCATATTCATATTCATTTCGCCTATCCAATAGAACCATGCTCCATCCTTTTTAAACCACATATAATCATATTTGACGAAGAATTGCATTTCATACTTGCATAATAATCCTTATACCGTATTTCAATGCTGTATCCTACGTACTTTAATTATTTACAAGATCTATTAAGACCTCTACCTAATATAGAAAAAAAATATATAATCGTGTATGATAAAGTACAATACTCACTTTTTTATGTACTATCCTTTAAATTGTATTTGGATATTATAACTCATTTAACTTCCATAATTACCTGTTTGATTCAGTGGGTCCGTCATAGATTCTGGTCAGTAACTTTATCCGTAAAACCGCTTCATATATTTGATCATAAAGCATCATAATAATTTTATATGGCAAAAATCTTCTGAACTACTTATTTCTGCACCACCCAATTTTAACTAATGCAGGCTTTCGGTTTATATGTGTACCTCATACTGTACCCATTTTGATTGTTTGGTACTAATTATTGGCAGTTCTAAATTACTTTATTATTTAGGGCTATCTTCCCCTGTAATATATATGTCAAAATTCACACAATGTTCATCTATATGTTGTGTTTTGCCTCCACACATACCTACCAAATCTCTATTACGATATTCCTGCCATTCCCCCCTCGTTTTTGACACCTTCACTAATCCTCACGACACATTCACTCTCGTTTCGAACATAGATTTTGACTTCTGAACTATCTTGGACCCTCGATCTTTTGTTTTTTAACCTATTTATATTTCCATCATTTACAAGCTTATATCAGTTGTCTTCATTCCAGACATGTTGAAGAGTCCATTGGTAAACAATGATGATAATGGTAACTTCAACCATATGGACGATATAAGAAAGTTGCAAGTTGACATGATCATTCTCAATCCGCTTAAGTATCCTACCAACCCTAACCTCGTAGAGACTCCAGATCAGATGAATGACAAATAATTTCCTACATCGTGTCGCTTCAGAGGCATTTGAAAGAATAAGAATAATAGCAATGCAATTGTGTTTAACATACCGGACACATATGCCTTTAAAAATATCAAGTTTAATCTGATTAGAGGCAGCAATATTACTCATGTACATTGTGTGTACAAAGATTAAAAGGAAATCCCCCTGGTACTCACCCACTGATTCAGTCCAACGTCAACTCGTCTGTAGACCCCAGTGAGTTTCTGACTCCCTCTGAATCCATGAAACAACAACAGATTATCAAAGACATTAAGATTCTTCTAGATAAAACACCATGCCAGTGAAAAGCAGTTAGAGCTGGTTACAGAACACCAGCGCCAAACTCCCAAACGCATCATAATCCTAATGGTCATAAAAGTAAGCCCGAT